GTTTCTGGCAGTGGTGTAGAGAAAGGTAAACACACATGTATGAGGTATACCCACCTCTTTTGCTGGTCATTTACAGTATACCCACCTATTAGCTAAAAAAAACATTGGACATACAGGAGAGTATATCCACTCCCTTCTCAGAAATGTACTTATCTACCTAGTAGTACATCCACCTCATCAACCACCACTACACCACTGGTTTCTGGAGCAGTTCGGGATCACGCAGTGTTTAGAAACAAGTAAAATATTTAGATTTCACTAAACAGGAGTGGCTCAACACTGAGGACTTTTCGGTGTTAACACTTTGAACTCGGGATTTACTTCACTGTCATTTAGTTTAGGCTAAATAAAATAGCCTACAGTTTTTAGGCTTGTGGTAGTAACACTGATACTGACCTTTTATAAAACATCACATCTGGTCCAATGCCACATACTATCCTGCTCTGATTATGATGTGACCAGGTTCTACATTAATATTTGTATATTTTAAACCTCCAACAGGCAATTACTTCAAAAATACCAAATGTTGGTTCATAATATGTGCATTAAAATTACCTGAGTTGTTTATGTGAAAGAATATAGTCACAAATTTAAGTCTGGAAATTGAATATATAGTAAAGAGTCATGTTCAGAAAACTGTTTTCATCTCAGGAAAGCATTAAGTCAGGCATTTCCTCCATGATAACATCAGCCGCGTGGTATTTAAGTATTGCTTGATATACATCACTGTGTGTGTGGAAATGTTTAACTTAAAGAGGGCTACATTCCACAGTGCCTTTCCCTGTGTGCTGGATCTACAGTTTTAGGCTTTAGGGGAAAACGCATTTTCTTTATACTGATTGCTCAACATCTTGCTGTACTTTGTGTCTTAGTCAAAGGAAAAGGAAGTGAATCTCCCATTGTGTGTGTATTAAAGGTTTTCCGCATATGTAGGCATGAAAAGCAACATGTACCATCTTGTTTTAGGGTAAATAAGGTAACATCATTTCTGTAACTGTCTGTGTTTCATTTAAACACTGCTGGCTACAGTCTTTTGTTTACCGTTCAGTCCTGACTTTTAACAAATGATACAAAATGAATGATATTCCAACAAAAAGAACCTTACCTAGTGCTGAAACCAAATCCCCAAACCCACTGAGTCGTCACCAGCAGGAGAAGAATCACAGCTATACAAAAGTAAAGTTCAATATAGTGAAGTAAAAACTGGTCAAAACTATTCCACAGACTTTTCTCTCTCTGTCTGTCTCCGCTCTCTTGCCCTTCCCTCAGAAATCCTGCCAAACCAGATTCAGCAGCTGCTACGTCACATGCGCGCACACACACACACACACACACAAACTTTACATGCTCTGTCTTGTCAGTGTGTGGGATACAGGGAGACTCCACTCCCTATGAGCCATGTAACCTAACACCTCATCAATAGGTAAAGAAACAGACACATATGCTTTATTGAGCAGGTTGACAAAACATCCATCCTTGCCAGCCAAAATGTGTGTGTGTGTGTGTATGTGTGTGTGTGTGTGTGTATGTGTGTAGGAAAAAGAGAGTAAGAAATGGAGAGATGCCACACCCTTTATGTTGTTAACTCCCAAGATGCCTGTGGGAAGTAATGCAAATGTGTTTTAACAGTGAGCAGTGTGTTTACATGGCAACAGACTGAAAGAGTGAACTCACGTATTGCCAGTTTATTTGAAAGAGAGTAACAGCGTCGAATAAACTAGAATAAATGCTATAGTACGTATTTGGTGCCTTAGGCAAGCCCCCGCCTTGTTGACCAGGACCAGCAGGATGACTCACTGTCTTCTGTAAATTGGTTTCCCATCAAGTTAAGGATTTATTTTAAGGTTCTTATTTTACAGAGCCCTGCATGGTCACATATCACTATACATATCTGATCTCACTCATAGGTCACTTAGGTCTCCTAACCAGAGCTTATTGGTTGACCTTTATGCTCAACTGTAAACAAAAGGTGACAGTGTGTTTGCAGTGGTGGCTCTGACACTGTGGAATGCTGCCATGACATATGATGTACCGTCTCTGTGTTATCTTTACAAAGCAGCTGAAGACTCACTTATTTAAATGTACCTTTCTCTTGTCCCGTGCTGTCTGGTGTTAATGTCCCTGAACAGATACAGGTGTCTGCTAACATTTTATTAAGTTTTTCAGAGCCCAACCCAAACATGAAAAGCACAGTTTTATTGAATGTACAAAGAGTGCTGAGGGTTGGTTGGGACACCTTATTCTGGGCTAACAATATCATTTGAATAGGAAAAAAAGCAGTGTAACCTAAGATCTTCAATGTCATTTGGTCACATGATTCTTTTAAAAGGGAACATCTGTTTTTATGTTCTCATAAATTACTAAGATATGGAATTTTGACTGTCAATAAGTCAATAATAATAAGTGAGAGTTAAAAAAAGTTGAACTTTGCACATTCAAAATATGGTCAGCGCTTGAAATTTAGATTTATATGAAGTATTTATTTTTTTTACATGGCCTATTAACTCAGCAGTCTCTAAATCTCTCATTAGATTCGACATTCACTCAATGACTTCACAGCTTGTCTTATTCAATTAAGAAAAACATTTTTATGTTTTGGTCTACTTTTTGTTGATTTGCAGCAAAATAAGAACTATAAACAATATTGTCCCAACCGCTTTCTGCTAACTGTCTGAACCATCCCAGTGAGAATAGACACATTTAGGACTCCTGTGTGAGCTACCAATAATAATTCAGACAGCTAACCCCCAATTTCCACACTGGCATCAACTAAAGGCCAGAAAATCAGCCTTCTGATGATGTGTTTTTCATATGTGGCATGACTAAAAACAGTATGGTAGAGGAGAAATAACAAAAGAGACAAAAAATTACTTACACACCTGGGCAAATAGATAAAATGTCTCCACTTTGAGGTGAAAAGTGAAGAGGGTGTGGCTGAGTATTAGCATGGTGATAGCATACGCATTGTAAATGACCCCAATTTTCTGTAGCTGACACTTGTAATGTATTTATGTTGCTTTTATTTTGTTATTTCCTGTGAACACTGAAGTGCTTTTATTTTGAAGAGACAGTAGGCATAGAGGTTACAAATGGAACCAAAAATGTAAACAGTGCAGTAACATTAAGACGAAGATAAACAATATGGAAATAAAAAGATAATAAGGAGTTTAAAGTTTAGTACCAGTGATAAGGGCAACAAGGTAACTGCATTCATGTGTGTGTAATTGTCAAATAATTTGAGTTTTTTGTGTATTTTCTAGCTTTCTGGTGCTGTCAAGGCAAAATTTTATGTTTCGTTTTGCAGTCTGTTTGTCTGATTTCTGTTTAGCTCAGATGTTGGTTGATGGAGTTAATAAGGAACAAATTAAACTGCATTAGACCATCAGTCCAGGCTTCTATTTTTTTAACTGGTACACTACAGGCACAGTCGCTTTCTAAATGGTTAAAAAGGCACCGTCCCAACTGTCTCACTGTCCCAACTGACCCTGCTCTCCCCTATTGTTTTTTTTTTTGTGTATGTTTCTTTTTGTTGTTATGGTCTTATTGTACTCATTTGAAGCACTCTGCGACCTTACTTTGTAAAATGAGCTATGTTAAATAAACCTTACTTACATACGTGTTCTGTCCACATTGTGTAATTAAAACACCTTAGAAATGTTGTAATGCCAGCAGTACAGAGGTCAAGTTGTAAATCACAGAAGGCTTTACTCGGAGGGACATTACCAGTACTGCCTTCAGTGCTGAACTAGGGACTGCACACCATTAAAAAGGAAAATATGGAATAAGGATAAAAGGCTGCAAACCTCCTTACCTGACAGAAAATACATTTTAGCCGTGAGCGTGTGTGTGTGTGTGTGTGTGTGCGTGTGTGTGTTAATGGAATTAACTGACACAAAGAACTTCTACAACCATCAATACACCCAGTATACTGTACTGCAGTGATATTCAACTGACAGCCCGCAGGCCAAACCCGATAGGGTGCAGGGTGGTCCCCAACCATTTTCTAATTTACAATAAATAAAAAAAGTTGATTCACACTGGGAATTGTTTCTGTGCTTGTGATAAACATAAGGTGCCAGAGTGCATTAAAAAAGCATCAAAATAGAGCTTGTTTATCAAAGAGTAAAGTGTGAGGGGAAGATCCACCGCACCCCCCAACAGAGGTCCGGGCTCAGCCCCAAATGTCCTCATGCGCCCTCGTGTACATGTGTGGGGCTGCTGCAACTGGCCCCTGGACTCCTTTCATTTTGTAAAAGTGGCCCCCAGGCAGAGCAAGTTGAGAATCCTTGCTGCTCTGTGTATGTGTTGGTAGATTTACTAGTGCAAACAGTAGATGGCAGCAATGCCTTCAGTATCAGTCTGACAGTTCCAGTTTGCCTGCTTGCAGCCTTATGATTTCATACAGTTTATTAAGTAAATGTTATTGAGACCGTTAGAATTTTCAGTTATGCCTGGATTAATAAAATGTGACATGTAGAGACATCAACACAAATCAATTAAGATGTCAGCTGCATTCCCGACTAAACCTAAGCTCGCTCACTATGCTGCAAAAGCATTAAGTGGCACTTTAAAAAAAAAGATAAAGCAACATAATGTGAAGTGAGATTTCAGCAGAGTAATTTTTAAGCATTAGTAATTTTCTTAATTCGTCAAGTTAGCAGGAGACAAGCTGAATAGTAACGGAAGTGTACTTACAAATTAAAAGGTCGTGATTTTACGAAACAGGCCAATGTGTATTTTTTTTAAGTATTTTATTGTTGAAAGCTTACAGCCGGAAGTGGCGTTGTTCATTGCGGCTAACTCGACATTTCTGTTCAACATGTCTCCTTCGCAGACTCTTCTCTTTCACTAGAAGCGTCTGGATTTTTCGTGAAACTACTGTGTTTTGTAAGTAGCCGTGACAGTCGTTTGTTTTTACCGTCGACGTAAGCAGGTGTTGCTAATGTGTAGCTAAGGTTAGCTGTGTTAGCAAGGCCGCTGTATCCGCTGTCATTTGGCTGTTATTGAAAACCGGCGACCGCTTTAGCCTGGAAGTGTTAGCTTTCTGTTTATTAAGGGAACATGGTTGTTGACCTGGTTTTACATGACCTGGCTGGCGGCGGAGCCTCTAATGACAGATGGCGTTGCTGATAAGTCTAGTGAGGTAGTTTCTAAATAATTTTGTCCTAGACTGGATATGTTGTAACATTTATAGTATGTACAGTAGCGTTAATGTATGAGTGTTGAAAATCAGCCACCAGTAACGTCAAGCTAGCGAACGTTAGCTGTAATTTAACGTTAAAACAACGACCTAGCTAAGGTTAACCAAGCGGGATGTTTCTGAAAAGGCATACAATGTTACGGTTCGCTAGCCGTGACTAGATATTATGCTTCTAACCATCTCTACGCTTTACTGCACTGTTAACTGTTGATTTATTACGGTCAGCAGCTCGAAGGTGCAAAAGCAGACCTCTGGCTGTTGATACAGTTCAGCTAACGGAACATTGTACATTAGCTTTGAAATGCTCAGTTATTTTCATGTGCATAACGTAACAATGTCACGACAAACTCGATGTAAAATCAGGTAGAATATCCCAAGCTGCTTGGTGGATGTCTAATTTTTTATCAGGCCTTATGAGTTAATCTCTATATGGACACATTAGCCAGTGGTCACGTGTGGACAGGGAGGTTGACGTTACAGAAAGCGAGCCAACGTTAGCAGAGCAATATTAACATGTTTTCCTTTACGCAGCAGGTTAGCAACAAGCTAGCGGGCCGTTGTCAGCCAGGACCCAGAAAAGCATCATCATCATCAATGGTGTGTCTACATCCCGGAGCCGTCACATTTTCCTGTGTCCGCTCAATGAACCATCTCCTCAGCTCTCATCACAGTGAGTATTTGACCACGAGTCACTGCAACATAGTCCCATCTTTCAATACTGTGCATATTAGCAGCTTACACTTAAAATGCCTTACTCCGACTCTCTTAGGCTGCACATGTATGGCGTTTGCGAGGCTCGGAGGGGAGTTTTGCCAAGCCCAGCACCTGCTGCTTATTGTGGACAAGTGAACAGGAGACACCAGCTAGGCGCAAACACTGCCATTGACGCACACAGGTGTGTAGCAGAAAGGTTGGTTTTGTGCTTAATCAGGTATATTATGAAAAGGTTTTCCATTTTAACCATGGCACAGTCTATGGGCAGCAGATAGATAGTAGAGGCACAGGCAGATTATGACACAGTGGTCCCCAGGGCCTGGGCTCAGTAAAGCCCCCTGTGGGAGGACAGGTATAACATGCTGTTGTTTCTCCCCACAGAGTTCAAGGGTCCATGTTGCAGAGTACTCAGCCCATCTAAAGTCATATAGATAAACTGAGGGGATAGAAACACTCACATAAAATATATCTTGATGGTTTCCTTCTTGGATCTCCTATGCAAATGCTGAGGCTAATCCTTAGTTTTTCTTTGTTTAGGACTTTTTTTTTTTTTTTTTTAAAGAGTGGCTTTGTTATTGCCTTGAATGACTAAGCCCTTTGACAAGAAATGCTGAGTTAATAACAGTGACTTCATGCAGAGACTCTGGTTTGGGAGGGGGGAGGGTGCATGGACCTGGCAGACCCGCTCAGTAGTAGAGTGCATTAGAAATGACATTTTTTCTGTAGGCCAACGTAGAAGTTAGCGTTGCCCTGGTTACCTAGACAAAAAGCTACTGGCATATTCCCATTGGCTTTTGGATTGTTGCAAAAATAAGATTTGTGGCAAACAAACATTTATGATACTAACATGTTTTGCACATGTTCCTGGACAAAATTTAGAATTTTTACCCATGACTTGCCAATGACCTATAATAACATCTTTTTTATTTCCCCATTTGCCTGCCACTTTTTAAACACATCAGATTCATATTCCATTAAAACATAATTTCAGCTAGCTAACACACACGAAGGGCGAGACAGAGTGCAGGGAGGAAATGGAGAAACATACATGATGGTAAACACAACGTCACGCATCCACACATTAGTGCTACGTAACGCTGACAGCTACAGAACATACATTTGCCATTATGTCACATTACATAGAAGGTTACTGTAACAAATCATTACACACAAAAAATACCCCACTAAAAAAAACCATGACATAATTTTATGACATTTTCAGGCCTTGAAACTGTGATTGTGATTTTTGATGTAAATCGCCAGAAGTAAAAAGCTACCTTAAGGCTATAAACAAACTACACCATGGTCACATCACATAACGTTACCGCCACCTAAAGGCTGTAAAGCTGTGTTTGGCGTGATGATGTTCTGCAGCCTCATTAGCCACTTGTGAACAACCGCCTTTTTGAAGACACGTGAAAGCTTCAAAATTTATGAGTGGGGTATTTACAGTCATATTTTATGCTGTATAATATAACGTCAATGTCTCTTAAGCTTGTGTTAACCACAGACCTAGACAAAGGCTTACATTCATAATGAAGAGCCAATGAAGAGCCAAGCAATAACCAGTGGAAGGATACTTCAAAGACCATCTTCATGTCCTCATAGGTCCTTACTGCCATCCTGTTCAACCCATATGAAGACAAGCCAACCTTCAGCCTGTCACCTGTCCTGGGGAGTAGGAGAGGCTTCAGTTTTATCCCAGGAGTTTCCTCACCGCTCTTCTCCTTTCCTGCTTTTCCTTCCTTCTTTTGCTCTGATTCGTCTTCTCTGAATGGGCTAGTAGATTTGAAAGAAAGGAAGGACAGATCTTCTTTCTGTCTTTATTTTTTTTTCCGACTGTGGGTGTCTGCTCTCCATTCTTTTTGATCCCAATCTGTTAGATTTTAATTTTTTGTTTAAAACCAAGCCAATTTTAGTTTTTCCTTCATTGCCAAAAAGTTTAGATTTTTTACCCCTCTATTTCTATCCCAGGAAACTGGTCTGTCATATTGTTTTTGTTCTTTGTTTTTAATTAGTGAAATTAATTGCGAAGTGGTTTTGCATTTTTTTGTGCTTAAGGAGTTTTTCTTTTAGTGCAAAGTTTTTTTGTTGCTTTTTTAAATTTTAAATAATCAGAAGACTTTTGCTTTGATTCGTTTGAAGAAGACCCCGTCTGTCAGTCTTTGAAGCACAGAACTTTTCAGATCTTTTATTCTGCATTAATAAACCTTTGAGCATCTAAAAATGAACCGACCGGCCCCGGTGGAGATCTCTTATGACTGCCTGAGATTCCTCATTACGCACAACCCCACCAATGCACAACTGGGAAGGTTTATAGAGGTAGCACACATTTTAATAATTCATTTAAACCTTTCATTCATTTTCTTTTAGTCATAGAGGAAGCACCAGCAGTGTGCTTTGTTAATCAGTGTGTTTTGCTGTGCAGGATCTGAAGGCATATGGAGTAAACACCTTGGTGAGAGTGTGTGCCGCTACATATGACAAGACACCAGTGGAACAAGAGGGTATACATGTCTTGGTAAGTAACAAAAAATGTTAACATTTGAAAACATGTTGATGCCAAAATGATGAGCTCAGGTAAAGACTTGATATCTCTCCCAGGATTGGCCGTTTGATGATGGTTCCGCCCCCCCAGACCAGGTGGTTGATGATTGGCTGACTCTGCTGCAGACAAAGTTCAGAGACGAGCCTGGCAGCTGTGTGGCTGTGCACTGTGTTGCTGGATTAGGACGGTTAGTATGCACTGAACACAGGATTTAACGTGTAGTGTTTGATACATATGAACAACTTGCCAAAATAAATTAATGACCCGTCAGTTTAGTGAATTTTTATTTTTTTTTAACCTGACATTCATTGTCAATTTTTAAAGATTAAACGGTATGAAAATTTCATATCAGCGACCAAAATTTTCACATTCATCAGTATTATCAGTAGTTGTGAAAAGATGTGAATGTGAATGAAAATGTGCAAAAAGTACTGATAATCACCAGGCTTTATAATGAAAACCACAAACAAAATTAGCAGCACTGTGCACTTTTTGTTTGCAAAAACATTAATATAATAAAACAGCCAATACCTTATGTAGCGATATGGAAACCACATGTGCATTAATATTAAAATGGCATCATGTGACCATGCCTCTAGGAGACTGTTGTTAACTTTGATTGTTGCTGGGCAGTTTTTACTGCAAGGTTTTTAAAGCGCAGTAATAAAACAAGGTTTAATGATAAGTACAATTTGAAACAGTAATACTAACTGTGGTGAATTTGACCATGGTTTATCATGAATCTGGTAACAGTTTCCTCCTCAGCAGTCGTAGTGATGTTGCACATTCTAAAGATCTGTGGTACTAGATTTTCAAAATGAACAAAGCAATACTAGCCACTGCCGTGTCACTTTGATGTGTAGCTACAGGGTCCCAAAGCAAAATTTGCCATGAACTTGATAGAGTGGAAAGCTGGAATCAAACGTCAGAGCTAGAGCTTTGATTCACTGCCAGAGCCTGATTGGGCCCGCCCCAAGCCGGGTTAGGGCTTGGCCAGGATGTAATTCCTCATTATTTCCCTAGGCTTAAATTGGTTCGGGTTCTCGTCAATTTAGTTGTGTTTTTTTTTTCCTTTTTTTAAAAAATGAAACTGGCAGTTCTCGTGCATTAATGGACTTAGGCAGGAGTTTCAGTGCACTACATCGAGTGGGAAAGGGGGAGAAAAGAGGGGGCTGCAACTGAGAGATGGGAAGTGATGGAACAGCGGAACAATATAGTGGAGAACTGACGGGGGAGAGAGAGTGTGTGTGAGAGGGACGGAAAAATCGAAACAGGAGGGGCTGCAAGGTGACTTGGTTTGCTTCTGCCTCCCCAGTAGTGGGAGAGATGTGTGTAACACGCAGCAAAGAGCGGTGATCATTATCTGAGCGTCACATTGTCACAGACCACTGTGTGCATTAAATGCACCAAAGGGTGCAGCCCGCTCTGCTGAACCTGTTATAGCTAAGTAAACATGTCAGCCCTCAGCTTGTGATAAATGTTTTATTATTAAAAACATATATCATAATATACAAAATACAGTATTTTTTTTATGTACAAATTCAGGATTTTATTCGGGCTCAGGCCCAGAAGTGCTGTGTGTGTGTTCATGTGGGGCCGAGCCTGGTTTTTTTGGGCCCAGTCAGAGGCCTAGGCAGAGCACAAACTGAGTTGAAACACAGTTTTAATGTCTGTGCTTCATACAGGACTGCTGTCCAAACAGATGGTTGAACATTTTTTAAAATCTATTCACTGTGTGTCCTCAGAGCTCCTGTGTTGGTGGCGGTGGCTCTAATTGAGTGTGGGATGGAATATGAAGATGCTGTGCACTTCATAAGACTGTAAGTACAAAACACTGATTCCACTGCTCTCCATTTGACTCAAATGTACAAAACAACTGCTCTGTTTTCTAATGTGCCATATTCAGTACCATCCCTGTAACTGCTCACACAGCTGTCACTGCTCTCAGAAATATTGTTCCTTGTGTAAAGTGTAATGTCTCTTTCATGTTGTCAGGAAGCGCCGCGGAGCGTTCAACTCCAAGCAGCTGCTGTACCTGGAAAACTACAAACCTAAACTGTGTCTGCGCTCCAAAGATGCCAACGGACAGAGCTGCTGTATACAGTAGGAATCTTCAGCTCCAAACATCTTCACTGCAGCTACATAGGAGACTTTCACCTTTTAATGTTAAACGGAAAGTTGACATGTTTGGGTAAATGTTTTGGTAACATTAAAGCCCATGAAATCTATTTAGAGCACTTAATGTATTTCCAAAAATTAAAGGATATCACATCAAATTGCTGAAATCTGTTAAAAACATATATAGACGTCTGATTTTACATAAAAAATGAACGTGGAAAAAAAGTGATGTTTAAATTTTTTTATTTCTGCTCCGTGGTCTGTGAACTCACCTCAGTATGTAGCAAAAATGCACAAATACTTAACCCATTAAAGGATGACCCCACAGTCAAAATGAATTGATTTTAACTGTCAGCTTTACTGTGAAACCAAGCTTGTTTGGTTGCAAAGGTAAAAAAAGAAAAAGAAAAACACAAACATTTATTTTGATGGTCCCTCTCTCAAGTCATTGTTACAGTAGCAGCTACGGTAAATGCCATTGATGTTAACAGATTTGATCAGATTTAAATTTACATTGGGAACAGACCTTATAGAAAATGGTGTGTCAGTAGTCGAGTATGTTTGACAGTTGATTCATTGTGATGTTAAACTGGTCTGCAGCTTGATATTTGTCCTAGGCTCCAACACTGCAAATGCTGAATAAATAGTTGGCAGTATGTGCTTTCAGAGGCTTGCTGGTTTATTGCACATCAGTCCACACAGTGGTTCAGGCTGATATGTTTATTCCAATATCTCCTCTCTGACCAAATCGATGTCCTGCAGCAGAATGTGGCGCAGATTATAAAGAACTCGTGAAGCAAAGCATAGAATATTTAATGGAGCAGTGTGTATGATTTTGGGAGATCTGTTGGCTAAAATGCTATATAATATTCACAACTATGTTTTCATTTAATCACAAGAAACTAAGAATTGTGTTTCTTTTCATATCTGTATAGAGAGCAGGTGTCTTCCTTGGAGCCTGCTTTGTTGTACGGCCATTATTCTATGGTGGCCCAGAACAGAACAGTTCTCTGGCACACCTGGAAAAGGAGGCTTGAGGGGAGGTGTGTTCAGTTGATTGCAATCTTCAACCTCACCACTAGATGCCACTAAATCGTACACTCTGCTCTTGTAGGAATTTGCTTGAAGGAATACTTATCCCGCAAAATGACCAATTGTTTATCAGTTACTCAGTCCATGTTACTTTTATAACGTTATTTTTCTCATATGCCTCCATGATAAACAAAGAATACAAAAATGGAGAAATTTCTTGATGAATTGAAGTGGTGACCACGTTTATCAACAGCAAAGCTATATCAAAACTTCTGTTAACGAACTCTCACACATGCATGGGCAGTTTATGAAAAATTGTTTAATAGTAGGGTTTTGGTGAAAATGCATGTGTTTTGGAAGTACTGAGCATAAAAGTGGATAAGTGAGACTTGGATTATACTGCATGAGTTGTGTAAGAGTTCGTAAACTGATGTTTTGATACAGTTTTGCTGTTGTTAAATGCAGCCGCCTATGATTGTTCACCGTGGAGGCACTTGAGAAAACAAAGTTTTTTCCTGAACTCAGCGTAACATGAGGTGTCTAGCTGACACACAAATGTTCTTTTAAGAAAGACTAAAAGTTTAAAAAGATTTATAAATATGAAGTATGCTGTATAAAACAATACAACCTACCTACTATGTGTCCCAAGTCAGAATCATAGGCACACAGTCTGCTTCTCTAGAACAAATGTGTGTTGGCTGTAAATGTTTGACACTGTCCTTCATAATGTCACCAAGGCGAGAAGACCAACATGCTAAAAGCTCAGTTGGTGAAGGTATTTATAAATGAACACTTTAATGTTTTGGTAGATTGTCCTATTAGCTGTCAAGTGTGAAGAACATGAATGAAATCATCAATATGTCTCTAATTCTTTGGCCCCAATGCTCTATACCTCCATTTTAACATACACAGTGTCTATCTACACAGTGTATGATGGAGTGGCAGCATACAGTATATGATTAGTCTTCCCACTAGCACTTTGGCATAGGTAATACTGAGTGGTATTTGCATGATAACAGTAGGATGTACTGTTGACTGATAGTAGGCTCTATGCAGACACATGAGCATGTACTATTTACTGTAAGAAGGTAAAGAAATAAGCTAGCATTTAAGTAGGAGTGATACAAACATGTCTGTCATTTTGGTGCCCTGTGTTTTAATCATTGAATAGTCAAATGTACTAATGGGACAATCTCCTGAATACTTAATGTATTCCTATAACAACCAACATGGAACAGGACTGTGGACCCAACATGGCTGCCGCTGAAACCTTAGTGGCCATAGTTCTTATCTGTCTCTGGCTCTGTACCTACTTAGCTGTCTGGTCAGCTGCTGTGTGTGTAAGATGCTGTTGGGTCTCTGTGATGTTATTATTTTTTCTATAGCTTTTATTTTCTTTCCTTGTACCCTTTACCTGTTTGTACTTATTTATTTATTGATTCCACAGTGTTTCTTTGTGAAATGTCTGTCTGCTAGAAAACAAATCTAGTGGTCTTGTTGGAAAATTAAAGTGTTTAAAGTAACTGTTGCTTGTTGCAGAAACTATTTGAAAACTATCCTAATTGTAGATAGATGTGTCTATGGTGAAAACAACTTGTCATACTACATTGTTTCATTTCAAGCATATCTGCATAGAATTAATCAGATTTTCATACTTCATCCTCCAAGTGACCAAGAGATATCTGTCACTCACTCTGTGTGACGTCTTGTATGCCTCCATGAAGGATGAAGAATCCAAATATGGAGGAAATACTTGATGAATTGAAGTAAGGGGGTCCACATTTAACAACAGCAAAACCATATCAGAACATATCTTTACAAATGATCACCCAACTCATACAGTATAATCCCAGTCTAATTTATCCATTTGTATGCTCACTACACCCCAAACAGACAGCTCTTTCTGACAGGGAATTAAACTGAAAGTGAAACTTAGCTGTGCTCTCTTCAATGCCAGACTTCATTGATAAAAACAGTAATTTTATTCGCTGAACACGGGAGCTGCTACTGCCATGATCCGTAGTTTGTGACATTGTGTGACTTTGGTGAATCCAAACTAACCCTCTAAAACACTAAAGTCACACAGTAACACAAAGAACTAGCTAACTGAGGCAGTGGCAGACCAGCAGCTCCTGTGTTCAGCGGGGTAAAATTATTGTTTTTGTCAATGGAGTCTGGCTCTGAAGAGAGTATAGGTAAGTTTCACTCTCTGTTCAGTACCCCGTTTGGAAGTACTTGGAAGACTGGATAAATGAGACTTTGATTCTTCTCCACAAGTTGTGTGAGAGTTTGTAAACAGATGTTTTCATATGATTTTGCTTTTGTTTAACATGGACCCCTATGACTTCAATTCAAAAATAATTTTCTCAGTTACTGGATTCTGCGATCACCGTGGAGGCATTTGGGAAAAACAATGTTTTCTGCATGATTTCAGTGTAACGCAGGGTTAGTAACTGATATACCAATAATCATTTGGGGGGTGAAGTATTCCTTTAAGAGCCACATAAAGAAAACTGCATAATATGAATCTCATCATAGGTTGACAATAATGACATTACTCTGGATAATTAAACCATTTTTAGTGGAAACCATGCTACACATTTCCAAACAGTAAAAGATATTTTTAAATTAAACTTTACAAACTGCCAGGCTGCTTCTACAACAGCACCAGGTCACAGTAACTGGATTACTTACAGGACTGTAGCTGTAACATGGCAGCTACCCAACATGATGCTGAGCCTGACCCGACCCTAATGAACTCTGTGTGTGTGTATGACAGTGAGAGATTGCCTCTGGCTCGTTGATGCTGTGTGAATGTGGCCATCAGGGCGGAGTGACAGCATCGCATGGAGCCAATTCAAGGTTGATTGGTTTTATTGACTGACCTGACAACACTCACGCTCATGAACTAACCTTGAACAAAAGGGCCAGAGTGGATAAATACAATAACTGCCCACAAAGCTCGACTCTTAAATACATATTTGAGGAAGAGATGTATTGAAAATGTCGCTTTTTTTATTACTGCCTTCTTTCATGTTTATGTTCACACAAAGAGGCAGCTGACTGAATTCCACATGACAACCTGGAGCATGTTTCAAGACATTAGATCAATGAATTGAGACGGAATAAATAGATTGAAGTGGACTTTATAGTTGGAGGAACACAGAATTATGTATTAATTATTTATTTCCCTAATTTGTTTAAGTTTGATTTTATTTGTAGAGCTCAGTCTTACACAGTTACAATTAAAGTGCTGTACAGTGATAAAACAGTAGAGCTTTAAACAAATAACAAGCAGCTAATTTCTTAATCATTGCAGTTTATAAAGCCCTGACTGAGTCTCAGAGGAAACAATAACTCCTACTCACTTGTTACCAAATGCAAGCATATTCCCACTAAATGCCTGTGTGTACAGTTATAATTAGTTTGACACCACTAACTGCAATGCTCCTCCTGAGCACTCAGTGCAAAGAGTTCAAGTGCAAAATGTTTCCTTGAGTGTTGGTAGCTCCTGTGGACAGTAGAGGGCGGTGACGTCCTGCCAAATAGTGAACTTTATATTTGAGTCACTTGCACTGATGTTAAAATAAGAAAAGAACACTTTCTCAGTCTTTTAAATGTTTTTCTGGGGTGTTGAACAGTGAATCTGTTTCTGCTCAAAACAGTAATGATTATGTCCAGCAGTACAGTGTCATGCAAGTACTTAACAGATATGAGCAAAGTTGTTACTTAACTGTAACGTAATATTACTAGGGTTTGTACAATATTGCTTGATCTGTGAGAACACACACACACACACACACACACACACACACACACACACACACACACACACACACACACACAGAGGCCTACAGCATCCTTGGCAGCAGGGGACAGCTGATAATCTGCTGAATATATGACAGCTGAACATCTCTAAACTCGCTGTAAGCTACACGACCCTGTGTGTGTTTTTGTGAGTGCGAGTGTGTGTGTGTTCAATGTCACGTGGAGTCAAAAACACTGCTATCTCTGCTAAACATTGTTAAATACAGATTGAGGGATATAAATAGAGAAAATGGGAATCTGGGTTAGAAATGCATGGGGGTGGTGGGTATTATGGAAAACTCCAAGTCCCCATAGAATTGTTTTAAGGGACTGTACTTTATTTATCAGAGGAGGGGCGTGGCTGGGGTGTGACTTTATTTTATTTTATTTTTTAATTAAATTCACACCAAATTTAGATTGGAGCCAATGCAACGAGTGAACAGCACGGGAGTGAGAGTTATCACAAAAACAAACAGCTAATTTCTCGAGCAAAATTGCAAATCTTTCTTAAAAATAATGTGTTCAAGGACTGTCAGAAATTTTAAATTTTCTGTTCTGTTTTGCTGTTTTTACAGTTTCTGGCAAGGACATATGGTGTGATTTTGGCCTCTTTTTTTTTTTTTTTTGTAATTAAAACAAAACAAAACATGCCTATTAAACACGCCAGTGGGATTTGGGGTTCAGAGGGTATTTGAAATAAATACAGAATACTTAATTTGTATATCTCTCCCCTAAGCCAAAGTCTCTCCCCAGTGCTTACAAAATGATTTAACCTGTCTCCACGATTTTACACCACCCCCTCCTCCCTCATTAATAATAAACAGTCCCTAAGAAAATACCATGACATGGCTACAATAACTTTATACTAAAGTCATCACTGCAGTTGCCAGGGGGACGGTGAAATAATGATCAACCTATTATAAAGAGGGCTAGAGTCACATACACTGATCTGTCTCAAGTCAGCTGTAATACTGAGTAAAACATAGTTGCAGCTGACACGGCCGAAGGGGGGGCGCTCTCACTCTAAATAACGTCAATTAAAACCTCCGGAAAATAGTATTGATTTTTATATTGCTGATTGTTCCACCACTTATTTTTGCTACATACACTACTGAACCTGCAGGCTATTTATCGTGAGGAGGAGGAGGAGAGGAGGAGGAGGAGACCGGGGGCAGATGGGAGGGATGATCGGGACGGTGACCCAGTTCACCCTGCAGCCCAAACCGGAGGACCGCCCGCTGCTGACTGACCAAGAAACCAGTGAAATTCTGATAATGAAACTACAAACGGTGTCTCCAGCTCTCTCACAGCCACTGGTATTTCCTCTCCCGGTGTAAAACATCACAGAGAGACTCAGTGTGTGTGTGTGTGTGTGTGTGTGTGTGTGTGTGTGTGTGTGTGTGTGTGCGTGTGTGTGCGCGTGCGTGCGTGCGTGCGTGCGTGTGTGTGTGTGTGTGTGTGTGTGTGAGTGAGGGAGAGGAAGGAAGAGGGAGGGATTGACAGAGGAAAGTGGACAGAGGAGCTGGAGTTTAGTTTTCAGAGCATCTGGATATCTGGCCGAAGAGCGAAGAAGAAGAATTTGGATGTATGGAAAATTACCTGAAAGCAGAGGAAAAGACCGAAAAGGCAGAGTAGAAGAAGAGCGGAGGAGCCTGCGGAGGGAAATAAGGAGGAGAAAAGTTGTTTTTCTAACGGGACAGAAGGACTGAGGAGCAGGAATGTTGCCGGTGAGTTTTCATTGATGAAATGTCTCTAGTATGATATGCTTGGTATAAAATGTATTGTCCTGGTTAACTCAATGCAACAAAATCGCCGCTAAAGACTTGAGAGCTAGCTCCAGCTGTGAGGGCTGTCCCCAGTCCAAACACCGGACGTGGAGCTAAACTGCAAGCTCACATTGTTCCTCAATGACATTTTAGAATTTGAAATATTCATTATGAACACGTTTTTATACATTTTTCCAGTTATTTATTTTAAAGCACCGTTTATCGCTCGCATTGTCTCTGCTTATTCACGTCAACAATTCCCATAATAATTGACAGGACAGCAGCGCGCGTGAAACTTTTATGAAAGAATGATTTTATTTTGTTAAAGGTAGTGAAGGTACAGAGCTTTACAGTGATATGTGATAAATAACTTCAAAGAAACAAACCTTTCATCACTATTTAAACCCCCTCATGTACTGAGTGCCTGAGCTCTATCAAGTTGCCAAATTTAAAGAATAAAACCGGAAGTTGTGCGCCAAGTTTTCAAAATATCAGCTTTTGAAATAGTTGTACAGAAGGGGTGGGAATCACCGGTGTATCCACGACACGATATTATCGCGATACTTAGGTCACGATACAATATTATTACAATTTTCAATATGTTGCAATATGATGAGAATTGTGACAAAATATATTGGGATATATTGGGATTTATTACCTTTTTTGCAACTGTAAATTATGTCCCCAAAGAAAAACTTCGTCAGCATCTGCTTTATCTAATAAGACAAAGTTTTAAGTCTTTTCATCTCACCTCAGCCATTTTTTTTGGCAGCAGCAAAATGCATCTAGTGGACTGAAAAAACAATTGATTATATTTTTTAGTAGGCTGACTAAAGGTTTATTTGTATTTGTAATATTATTAATTTATATAATAAAATACCGATACTTGGCACTGTGTGATGATAGAATATTGCCACACAAAAATATTGTGATACTATGCTGTATTGATT